AGCTTCTTTCTTACTTTCTTACATTCATTGTCAATATTTATTGAGTTATACGCTGTATTTGGTTTATATACACATTTTCTTTTGTTTTTAACCTGGTATATTTTCATTACATCAGTGATTTACTGAATTTATGTACCTTAATTGCAGGTTATGTGCATGTTGGTACATGTCGAATTTCACCAGACCACCTTTATCTAGCTTACACACTAGATACTAAGGGTAATGAATGGTTCATGCTTCAAATTAAGGACCTAAGAAGCGGATGTATTATCCCCAATGTACGAGTTGATGATGTTGTTAGCTTGGCATGGGCCCAAGATGGGAGAACTCTGTTCTATACACTATCAGATGAGACTCAACGACCTTACAGGCATACTTCACCTCTGTTACATATCCATTCTTTTCTTGAGATGATAGTATTATCTCACCTTTTTGTCTTTTTGGCAGAGTATGCTGCTCAAAACTAGGATCTGATGATATTGAAAATATCACTGTATTTACAGAAAGTAATCCCAGCTTCTGTGTGGATATAGCAAGCACAAAAGATGGCAAGTTTATTACTGTCAATTCAAACTCAAGGACTTCATCTGAGGAAGGAATTTTACTATTTAATTTTTTAAATTTATTTATGGAGTATTTACTTTGAAAACATTCTCCTTTGGCGAGGCTAATTTTTGTGGTTTAACTCACACAGGTTTATTTGATAGATGCTGCCAACCCGTTAGATGGTTTGCAGAATGTTTGGAAACGTGTTTCTGGTGTACAGTTTTTTCTGGAACATCACCACGGATTATTTTATGTTCTTACAAATGCTCCTTTGAGTGAAAGTAAAAAGTGGTCTGGTGAAGGTTATTACCTAGCTAGCTGCCGTCTTCAAGATCTATTATCATCTAATTGGCAGGTAAACTCTGTTCTCATTCATGAATCTTAAATATGGACGTATGGTGTTCTCTATTTTGTGATGTTAACCATACTTTAAGTTCTTCACTATGGAATCTCTCTTGTATTTTCATGCCCCATTTCTCATAGTGACATACTTTTTTCGTTTTAGAATATCTTCCTTCCAAGTAAAGATTTTAGCATACAAGATATGGATATGTTTGATGGACATCTGGTCCTTTCTCTCAGTAAGAAGGGTTCTTCTATGTTTTGTTCCATTGATTTGCCTATCGATGTTGATTGTAAGGTATCGATCTCTCTCTCTCTGCTTAGTTACATTTTTGGTTATGGATAACGTACAAAAAGTATAATGCACATAATGTTGCTACTTTTATCTCTTCTACGTACAAATACATTTCTCCTTAATTTGCTACGTTTATTGGCTTGATTGGCAGCACCTTTTGGAGCCTGAAGATCTTAATGCATGGTTTTTCCCTATGCCCCCAAATTCATGTACTGTTGTTTCAGGTTCGAACCATGATTTCCAGAAATCAGTATACCGTGCGGTGCTTTCGTCTCCTGTGGTACACTTTATAAGTTTGATTATGAGTGTTTTATTACTTTAAACTCTTCATTTGACTTTCCTGCCTGTATGATTCTTTGTCCGTTCTTTGGAAATTTGCAGATGCCTGATGTAGTTGTTGACTACGACATGTCAAGCAGGAGATTCTCAATTGTGCAGCAAGAGGAAGTAATACATTTTTGTGATAGAAAATGCCCACCAACTAATCAGCTAGATATGAATCAAACTTTTGACACACAATATGAGAAGGAAGAAGATGTGCAGATAAGTGAATGGCGGAGATGGAAGGACTATTCTGATACATATTGTTGTGAGAGGAGGGAAGTTATTTCCCATGATGGTGTTAGAGTTCCTTTGACCATATTGTACTCTCATACAACCTGGCGTAAGGATCAGTCGCCTGGCCTTCTACAAGGCTATGGAGCATATGGGGAGGTTTTACATGGAAGCTGGTGTGCAGAGCACATGAGTTTACTTGATCGGGGATGGGTTGTGGCATTTGCTGATGTGAGGTTAATTTTTTTTTTCTTCCCTTTTAATGAAAGATCAATTGAAACAACGACGCTAAATTGATGCGTTGAATTAAAACCAATAATGTGTTTCAGCCTTCAAGTTGCTTTTGTTTTCTTTTGTTAGGGGAGGGGAAGGGGGGTGGAGCTAAAGTTGGATGTAACTTTTTCTTTTTAAAAATGACTCTCTGTTTTTTTTTTTTTTGGGCTCAATTTGAACCTGTGTATGTGCAACTTTCTGATCTTACATGATATCATGTAATTTTGATTTTAGTTATTTCAAAGTCTGTCCAATATCTTAGTTCATCTGCTTCAATACTTTAATATCAATTGTGTGTTTAACACTCAAGCATATCATTATGCACTAGCCTAGAATAAGTTCAGTCTGTGATGTATTCTAAAATTTGTATGCTCTAGCCTAAATCCCGTGTGATTGTACTTTCTTAGCTGAAAAAAATGTGCTGTTGCTTGTCATTTTTTCTTTTTGGGGGTTAAATAATTTGACGTGGTTGTATGGACAGGGGTGGTGGTGGAGATTCTTCATGGCATAAATCTGGCAGTGGGTCGTATAAATTGAATTCAGTCTATGATTTTGTATCATGTGCAAACTACCTGATTAAAGAGGGCTATGTACATAAAGATCGGCTTGGTGCTATTGGACATAGTGCTGGAGGTCTTCTTGTCGGGGCAACTATCAATATGTACCCAGACCTCTTTCGTGCTGCTATTTTGAAGGTTAGTGTTTTAAAGCAAAACATTTATCGTCTTTGTCATCAGTAGTACTCTGGGTCAATGAAGTTGGACTCCCAGCCATCAGCCCTTCAGCAATATTTCTTTTCTTTTATGGTAGAGAAGAAATGCATTGTATCCGCCGTTGCTAATTTGAATCGATTTTTGTGTCAAATTGTTACATTGTTGGTACTGATGTTTTGGTGATATTTTTTTTCAGGTTCCATTTCTTGATATATGCAACACTTTAATGGATCCGAGTTTGCCTCTCACCATTCTGGATTATGAAGAATTTGGAAATCCTCAAATACAGTCCTCATTTGAGCATATCTTCAGTTATTCACCTTATGATAACATTTCTCAAGGCAGTTGTTACCCTTCAATGCTTGTTACAGCGTCTCTTCATGACTCAAGGTAAGTTCATCTTGTGCTTTCTGTATACTAGTTACTTGCATAAATAAATCCACACGCGTGCGCACACACGCACACACATATTCCCATATACTTGCGGTGGTTGCATTTTATAAATTAATATCCATTTCTCAGGGTTGGGTTTTGGGAAGCTGCCAAATGGGTGGCCAAAGTTCGAGATGGTACATGTCCTGGTTGTTCTAGTTCAGTCATTCTGAAGACAAATATGGCTGGGGGGCATTTTGGCGAAGGTGGACGGTATCATCAGTGTGAGGTAGCTGCTTATGATTATGCGTTTCTAATCAAAGCTATGGGGATGCTGAAGACTGAAAAACAAGACATGCAATGCACAGTGGTCACAAAAGAATCAAAGGTAGGTTTCACTGAAGTCCCTGGTGAAGAGTGAAGTTTCCAGTATTTTGCTGAGGCTTTGAGTAAGTTCAAACAAACGAGAGCATTTTCCCTCTTTGTGCACTATGCATGAGTTTTTCCCTCATAGTTACAATGAAGTTGCTAGGAGATTCACTTCCTTCATGTCTGCAGTAAAAGACTAAAGCTAGATTGATAAGCTTTTCTGAGTTAAGGCATCCCCATTTTCTTCTTGACCAGCGCCGCAGGACCAAGGTGGCATCTGATTTGCACATCCAAGCAGAGCCATGAAATCATATTTTGGAAGTGTTGTTTGATTTAGCATTGGCTAAGGATCAGTGAACAATTTCTGTACTAACACAAGAATGCACTTTTAAGTTTAGACTGCTTAAATATAGCCTATAGGTAGTTCTTCAGGGATGATTATACACCTGCTAATTTTATATTAATTGATAAATGGATTGATGATTTAGCATTTTCTTGTTATAAATGAAATAAATAAATGCAAGAGGTCTTCAAAGCAAAACGGATTCTTGGAATTATTATTTGATTGCAAATTGATTCATGGAGTTATTATTATTATCTGATTGGACCACCCCCACCCCACCATCCCCCCAAAAACAAAAAAAAAACATATAAGAAAGATGCATTTTTCTTCAGGTTGAAATTATTGTCAAAAGGGAACCATGAGATGTGGTGTGGTGGTAGCTCATCTCATCCCTTAACCATGAGGTTGGGAGTTCGATCCCCGCCCATGGGAATGGAGCACATTTCGTGGCCAGCTGTTTACCTCCTTTGGGAGAGCTCCCGCAGCGAAAGGGATTAGTCACTGCTGTCGGCGGTGGACACCCTTGGGTCTAACCAAAAAAAAAAATTATTCTCAAAAGGGACCCATAACGAGTGTGCTATGTCTCTGTCTCAAATGTTGAATCCCTAGAGAGTCCGATATTACACGTTTTGAATGTGTAAAGATGACCAAATTGCATGTAAAATACAATCAACTGGAAAGGAGGTGTTGGTCCAAATGTTCAAGATTGAAAAACTGGGTTTTGATTGCGCAAACGTAACAATGAAAATTGACACCACCTTATTACCTGTGTTACTATTGTTTTCAATCATAAATTTGGGCACATAACTATTGGTGGTTGCAATTTCCCCTGTTTTTTTTGTTGAGCAATATTAATGGTTATATTGCAAGGTCCCTGTTTTTTCATTTATGCCTCAAGCAAAATAACAGAAAAATAGAAAGAATGAATGAATGAAAATGTCAAATTAATTCCTCAATAAATCATAACCCTATAATTTCCTTCTTTAAAAGTGTTACGTCTTAGACTCTTGCAGCTCACTCACTTCTAAACCTACATTATCCTAAGTTTAACTTTGAGCCAAACCCAACATTGCATCTGTTCTTCTGATTTAAAGTACATTCAGAAACATATATATGTTCTTTTGTGAGACATTATCTATATCCTAAACTAATTATCATATACTTGTATATCCACTATCAAAGTTTTCAGGAAATGGATAAAAAGGATGACCCGAAGGACCACAAATTCGGGGAGGTGAAGAAGGAGAAGCCGTTAAACAGTAAGATCAGGTACTCGAGGTACACCACAGCCATCAAAGCTGAAGTGTTGAAGGGTTTGATTGCTGGAGGGGTCAAAGCTGAAAAGTTGAAGACTTTTATAAATTGGAGTATAAAAAACGAGAAGCTAAAGAGTTTAGTGATTTCTAGGACACGACTGGCGCGGCTGAAATTGTGGGCGGCGCGAGCCACAACCGTGCTGCTACTGTGGGCTATAGCAATGCAGCTCAAGGCAGGAGAGAACTTGCTGCCATGGATATCTAAAAGCTCTTTTCCACCACAAAGTATGGTAGCCTTCTCATGCATGGCATGCATATGCTTCACCATACTATTATTTTCTGTGAAAATGAAACCTCTTTGTTTGTGATTATTTTTCAGGGGTTTATGAGAACAATGGATATTTGATGGTTTCATCCAATGGAGGACTAAATCAGATGCGATCTGGTGTAAGTAATTACTTTGGTCTTTATAAATTAAATTTGACCATTAATTAATTTAATCTTTGTTACCATTGCTGTATATGCAGATATGTGACATGGTAGCTATTGCAAGATATATGAACGTCACGCTTATAGTTCCTGAATTGGATAATACCTCCTTCTGGAACGACCACAGGTGAGGCTATAGCTAAGCTATAGCTAAGCTATAGCTGCAGCTTCATCTTAATTATATACAATATATATGCTAACCAATTAATTAATTATATATGGCAGTCAATTAGAAGACATATTTGATGTGGATTATTTCATTGCATCATTGAGAGACGAGGTTCGGATATTGAAAGAATTGCCTCCTGAGCAGAAGAAAAAAGTGGAATTAGAATCCCTTTATTCCATGCCCCCCATTAGTTGGTCTAACATGACAAACTACTATAACACGGTTGCTCGCTCTCTTCTCTCTCTCTCTCTGTTTAAATATTAATTGTGTTACATGCTTACTTAACTACACAGATCATTCCTCGCATGAAAACATACGAAATTGTGCACTTCACTAAAACTGATGCTAGGCTTGCCAATAATGGGATTCCTGGAGAGGTTCAAAAGCTCCGGTGCCGAGCAAATTACCAAGCCCATGCTCTGAGATTCACTTCCCAGATAGAGGAAATTGGCAGAAAGCTTGTCAGAATTTTGAGAGAAAAAGGCCCTTTTCTGGCCCTTCATCTCAGATATGAAATGGACATGGTAGCATTCTCCGGCTGTACTGAAGGTTGCAATGAAGAAGAGATTGAAGAGACCACCAAAATGCGGTAACTGATTAATATACATACTGTACATCATCTTAAAATTTCCTCTTGTCATGCAGTTTGGCATGTTACCTTGTCAGATTGTCAATATGAACCATGGATTAAGTAAATTCTTTTTATATATGTAAGATATGCATACCCCTGGTGGAAAGAGAAGGAAATAGATTCAGAGAAGAAAAGGAAAGCATGATTGTGCCTTTTAACCCCTGAAGAAACTGCACTAGCGTTGAGGGCACTTGACATTGATCCTAATATCCAAGTCTATATTGCTGCTGTAGACATATACAGGGCTGAGAGGAGAATGGCACCTCTGAAAGAAGCTTTCCCAAACTTGGTAATTAAACTTCATTTTATTGCTAATTCATATCAAAGGGGAGAGCCTAATTCTTGTTTAAGTATAATTAATCATGGTCATTTTGTGTTACCAAACTTAATGTTATGATTAATCTTTGGATGTAATCTATGTGTAAACAGATTCTTCCTCGGATAAAGAAGTATGGAGTTCTGCATTTTACTAAAACTGATGCCAGGCTTGCAAATAATGGGATCCCAAAAGAGGTTCAAGAACTGCGGTGCAAAGCGAATTACAAGGCTCTGAGATTCACTCCTCCCATTGAGGAATTGGGGAAGAAGATTGTTAGGATTCTGAGGGAAAAGGGTCCATTCTTAGTTCTTCATCTGAGATATGAAATGGACATGTTGGCATTTTCTGGTTGCACTGAGGGTTGCAATGACAAAGAAATTGAAGAATTGACAAATATGAGGTGAGAGACCACCAATCTTAACTTCAAGCTCATATTTAGGAATAAAATTCAATTTTTGCATGTTATATGCCCAATAGGTTTGCTTATCCATGGTGGAAAGAGAAAATAATAGATTCTGAAAAGAAAAGAAAAGCTGGGTCATGCCCTTTAACTCCTGAGGAAACTGCCCTTGCGTTGAGGGCATTGGATATTGATCCCGGCATCCAAGTTTACATCGCCGCAGGCGATATATATGGAGGAGAAAGGAGAATGGCATCTCTGAGATTAGCCTTTCCCCATATGGTTAGTTGCTTGAACCTTAAGAAACAAGTTGTGGTATAACTATTATATAAGCGTATGTGCATGAAATGTGTTATTGTTGTGTGTGAAACAGGTTAAAAAGGAATCATTGCTTAGAGCCTCAGACCTTGAGCCCTTCCGCAAACATTCGAACCAAATGGCGGCATTAGATTACATTGTGTCACTGGAAAGTGACATCTTTGTTCCTACTTATGGAGGAAACATGGCAAGAGTTGTTGAAGGCCATAGAAGGTATCTACATATATGTTGTCAAAAGTTTATTCATTACTTGTATTAATTTCTTTCTCACTAACAATTTATATAAGTACAGGTACTTGGGATTCAGGACAACAATTCGTGTAGACAGAATGCTTCTGGTGGATTTGATAGACCAGTACAAGAACGGAACTCTGAGCTGGGATGAATTTTCCCAGGCAGTGAAAACAGGACATGCCGATTGCATGGGCATCCCAACTCAAAGATTGGAGATTCCTGGCAAGCCCAAGGAGGAAGAAAATTTCTATAACAACCCAGAGGAATGTTTGCCACCAATTCCCAAAAAACCAAAAAGTCCGTAAATATTTACATGTTACATGTGCCATTAGATTCCACTCCCCATGATTAATGTAAAAGAATTTTTGCTTTATTTCCCTTTGGTTGGGATTAGAAGAGGGGACTGGGATGTTTTCTTTTCCTTTTATTAACGCAATTTTGCTATCCAAATACTCAAAGTCAAAAGTGTAAGGTCATTCACAGAAAAGCCGAAGGTTCCTTGCACTGCAGGTTCTTCACAATGGAGATAGTTTCATCAGTAAATTCAATGACTGAAAAACACAAACAGATGATGAACTCCAAAGAGACAAAATTCTTGCCACTTAAATCAAGCACTTAATACAAGCATGCCGTGTCCTGAATGTTTGCTCTAAACCAATAATGCCCCGGACACAAACTACCAACTCAATTACCAAGAAATCGTCCCTGAGTGGCTCCATTACATTAGAAATAATTATGTACGATACAGCTAAATTACGGGTAATGGGATCCCCTAAGATGGGTTACTTAAAGAAATCTATAAATTACGGAAACGGCTCTAAACACGAGTTCAATGAAATAGTGTTTTAAATTTTTTAAATAAAAAAAACATACCACCCCATGTACACTAAGAAGATGACACTATGACATCCCAAATCATAATAAAAGAGTAAAATCTGGGAGAAATCGAGACAGAGAAAACCCCACACTAGTTTTATGTCTTCATGCGCTTATGAGCTTGATCTGAGTCCTCTCCACTGCCAGCATCCCTAAAATGTGCCACTGTTTGATTGCTTGAATGGGGAATCTCATGATCCTGGAAAGTAGTGATCAAACTATAAGATTATCCAGAATGAGAGGTTGACAGATCCATAAGAATGGATGAAAAGAGAGTTGCAATTTAACTAAACAGACCCACATGCTTTTAGAAAGATGGCTAATGGAGAGAGTTTTCAGGGCAGTGGAAGAAAAGAAAACAAAAGAAATGGAACCCTTTATACTATTCCAGTTCTTCAGAATAAAATTTACTTGCCATTTCTTTTGGCAACCAGGAGAATAAAGAATTCAGGTGCTTTACAGGTAGAAGAACCCAAACCCTGCTTACCTATCAACTCCACCATAAGAACAAAACTCAAATACCTAATATGTACCTTAGAAGCAGGTGTTCCAGAGGATAGCCCTCGGTTCACACGATTTCCAAGATCAATCTGCACTGAGACACTAGCCTGTGACAGATCAACACCAGCACTCTGCAGTGCTTCATTCAGAGAGTTTAATAACCTGTTCATCGCCAATTTAATGCCCATTACCATCTTATAACATAGGACATAAGCTATATAAAAACCTTTCAGTATATAACAGAAATTTCATAATTTTTTTAATTGTTTACCAAAACCATAAGTCCTATAGATATAGCATGAGTACCCACCCTTGTGAGTAAACACTTGAGATGCTTATTGTGCCACCTTCAATTGTCAGCTCCTCCTGTTGATTCAGTGCATCAATAGCACTAGTGGGGGGGCACTGAGTTGATTGGGCATCAGAAACTGGTCCCTGAAGAGGATGGGCAAGTATACCATCACTTCTGACAGGGGCAGTCATGTTAACCGGCAAAGGCATAGGCAGAGGAATTGCCTTGTTCACTATCTCAGGTTGCCTATCCATAATTTTGGAAGCAACATCCCTGCTAGGATCAGATTCTACTGGATTCTGTGTGCTATTTGCAAGCATGCTCGGGGTGATGGAAATGCTATTTTCATCAAATTTTCCAGGGAAAGGTGACACTGCACCAGTATCATTCTTTCCGGCCTGAGGATGACCCACAAAACTCTGCACACGCCAGTGACTATTTCTCTGTTTCACGCAGGGTAGGGTGTAAGCATGTTAGATCAAGAAGTATCTTAAACAGGAAATTAAGTGTCATTTTTATACAGAAGCTATCCTCATTGTGCCAGAAAACATGCATCAGAAGCAGCTTAATATAATTCCACCTTATCAGCAATTGAGCCCATTCCATAGTTACCCAATAACTCAACACATTATGCAATGAATCAGTGACAACACCTCCAAAAAGAAAAAAGAAAAAAAAGTTATCACAACTGTTGAGCTCAAGACAAGGCATTAATGTTTCCGTACTCTTGTAAAGCTTTATGGTTTTTATGCAGGAAAGCAAGCAATTAGATCCTCTCTAAACCCTAACACCCAAACAAAACAAAGATCCTCTGTTGTTCAGGATAGTATAATCACATAGATCAATCCTAGTTCTAAAGAACGCACATATACAGCAATTTAACACCTGGCTTTGAGCATACAGGTGGACATAGCACCTTAACACCCAGACTACATAAGTGGGCAAAAGTCAGAACATTACCCACGGCATTAACTTTGTGGGCTCAGGACTCCACCCCTGGTATGAACCTTCATACTTGTGGACTTTTTCTTGTAAATATTGGACATACTCAATCACCTGCCAAAAAAAAAAAAAAAA